ATCTACCAATGATAATAAGGTAAATACTAAACTAAGATAAACATAAAACCAGAAATAAATTAGATGCAGAAACCAAACCCCAAGTCTTCAGTTGCTCCCAAAGTCCACCTCCTCAATTTTGGGATGATTTGTTGTCTATTCAGGTATTCCACAGATGCAGGGTACATCAAGTTGATTGGGGAGATTTAATCCACTGCTCCTGAGGCTGTGGGGAGAGATTTCCCTTTCTCTTCTTTGTTTGCACAGCTCCCGGGGTTCAGCTTTGGATTTGGCCCTGCCGCTGCATGTAGGTCGCCTGAGGGCATCTGTTCCCAGCCAGACAGGACAGAGTTAAAGTAGCAGCTGATTAGGGGGCTCTGGCTCACTAAGGCCAGGGGGAGGGAGGGGTATGGAATGCGGGGCGAGCCTGCAGCAGCAGAGGCCGGCATGACGTTGCAACAGCCTGAGGCACACTGTTCTCCTGGGGAAGTTGTCCCTGGATCACGGGACCCTGGCAGTGGCGGGCTGCACAGGCTCCCGGGAGGGGAGGTGTGGATAGTGACCTGTGCTTGCACACAGGCTTCTTGGTAGCTGCAGCAGCAGCAGCCTTAGCATTTCATGTCCGTCTCTGATGTCCACGCTGATAGCCGCAGCTCGCACCAGTCTCTGGAGCTCGTTTAGGTGGTGCTCTGAATCCCCTTTCCTCGCGCATCACAAAACAATGGTCTCTTGCCTCTTAGGCAGTTCCAGACTTTTTCCCCAACTCCCTCCCAGCTAGCTGTGGCGCACTAGCCCTCTTAAGGCTGTGTTCACGCAGCCAACTCCAGTCCCCTCTCTGGGATCCGACCTCCGAAGCTGGAACATCAGCTCCCAGCCCCCACCCACCCCGGCGGGTGAGCAGACAAGCCTCTCAGGCTCATGAGTGCTGGTCAGCACCGATCCTCTGTGCGGGAATCTCTCCGCTTTGCCCTCTGCACCCCTGTTGCTGCACTCTCCTCCATGGCTCCGAAGCTTCCACCCCCACCCCCACCCCCAGTCTCCACCAGTGAAGGGGCTTCCTAGTGTATGGAAACTTTTCCTCCTTCACAGCTCCCTCCCAGAGGTGCAGGTCCCGTCCCCATTCTTTTGTCTCTGTCTTTTCTTTTTTCTTTTGCCCTACCCAGGTACGTGGGTAGTTTCTTGCCTTTTGGGAAGTCTGAGGTCTTCTGCCAGCGTTCAGTAGGTGTTCTGTAGCAGTTGTTCCACATGTAGATGTATTTCTGCTGTATTTGTGGGGAGGAAGGTGATCTCCACATCTTACTCCTCCACCATCTTGAAGGTCCCCCCAGCTACTATGTTTTTTACTCTTAAGAAACACATGAAATTTAAGAAAACCTTAAATTTTCTAAAATATACCACAAGGTATTAATTACTCACTGAAGTACCAAAGCCCAATACCATATTGGATTTATAGAGTGAAAGTCTCCCAAAATGTTTTATAAATTAATTGGCTGTTTATAAATATAATAATCCTTATCTTTATCTGGGGAGTTATTATTCCTATTTTGAATATGGAAAAAGGGAATAGGTTGACCTCAGCCTTATAAAAGGCTATCAAGTTGTACGGATAGATTGTCTAGCTAATTTTCTCAACTTTACAAGCCGAGAAGAGGACTGTGTAAATTCTCTCCATCAGTCCTTGAATGTTAATTTAAATGTTTATTGAGCATCTAGCTTGTGCCAGACATAATGTTGAACATTAAGCACACAACAGTGGGAAAAAATATGGTTCTTATCCTCATAAAGCTTCTTCTGCTGTGAGAGACAGATGTTAAACATTTAATTACACTTGTGATCAGGATCACATGTGGCTCAGAGTATGTATCAAGAGGCTTGATCTTGAGTGGGGAAAATTTCCCTGAGGAAGTCATGTTTCAGCAAAACTCTAAAGGATGGAAAGAACTACTTATATTAAAAGCACATGAAATGAATGGTGCAAGCAGAGGGTACAGTCATGATGAAGGAACTGGGCACATTCAAGGAACTGAAAGAGCAGAATAGAAACTTTAAAAAAACAAAGCATAGGGCTCCCCTGGTGGAGCAGTGGTTGAGAGTCCGCCTGCCGATGCAGGAAAGGCGGGTTCGTGCCCGGTCCAGGAAGATCCCACATGCCGTGGAGTGGCTGGGTCCGTGACCCATGGCCACTGAGCCTGCGCGTCCGGAGCCTGTGCTCCGCAACGGGAGAGGCCACAACAGTGAGAGGCCCGCGTACCGCAAAAAAAAAAAAAAAAAAAGCATAATAAGATATAGATGGGGCAGATTGGCAGGATCTTGTTGATAGTTGTTAAGGATTGGGACTTATCTCATTGACTCTTTACAGTTTTAGACACAATAGGAAAATTAACAACTTGATTTTTTAAAATGAGCAGAAGATCTGAACAGATTCCTCACCAAAGAAGATAATATAGATGGCAAATAAGCATATTAAGAGGTGCTTTGCATCATGTTATTAGGGAAATGCAAATTAAAACAATGAGATACTACTACATACCTATTAGAATGGCCCAAATCCAGAACACTGACAACAACAAATGTTGGCGAGGATGTGGAACAATAGGAACTCTCACTGACTGCTGGTAGGAAAGCAAAATGGTACGGTAGTCACTTTAGAAGACAGTTTGGCAGTTTCTTATAAAACTAAACATACTCTTCCCACACCATCCAACACTCATGTTCCTGGGTATTTACCCAAATGAGTTCAAACCATGTCTACACAAAAACCTGCACATGGATATTTATAGCAGCTTTATTCATAATTGCCAAAACACAGAAGCACCCAGACGTCCTTCAGTAGTGGATATCAGCAGCCAGGGTATCCAGACAGTGGAATATTATTCATCACTAAAAAGAAATGAGTTATCAAGCCATGAAAAGACACAGAGGAAACTTAAATGCATATTACTAAGTTAAGAAGCCAATCTGAAAAGGAGGCTACATACTGTATGATTCCACCTATACAATATTCTGGAAAAGCCAAAACTGTGAAGACAGTAAAAAGATGATTGCCAGGGGTTAGGGGAAGGGAGAGATGAATAGGTGGAGCACAAAGGATATTCAGAGCAGTAAAACTGTTCTGTATGATACTATAATTGTAGATACACGTCATTATACATTTATCCAAACCCATAGAATGTACAATGAGTGAAACCTAATGTAGACTCTGGATTTTGGGTGATAATGATGTGTCAGTGTAGGTTCATCAGTTATAACAAATGTACCACTCTGGTGGGGGATGTTGATGGTGGAGGGGAGGATAGAGGAACAGGGGTACGTGGGAACTCTGTACTTTCTTCTCAATTTTGCTTTAAGCGTAAAACTGCTCTAAAAATAAAGTCTATTTTTTTAAAAAAGTTTTAGGAAATTCATGAACATATTTAAAATTTTAATAGATCACTCTAGCTGCAGTGACCAATGTGGATGAAGATAAAGAGCAAAAATCGGTGCAGAAGAACTTAACTGCAGTGGTCCAGGTGAGAGCCTGGTACTAGTTTGGTATAGCATGGTGTCAAAGGAGAAAGTGAAAACATGCGGGCCCTAGAGAGAGGCACGTTTCTGTGCCTAAATAAATCAATGAACTGTTTACCCTTAGTTTCCTCACATATTAAAAAAGAGAGGGGGGGCATTTGGGGGTTGCCCAAGGGGCTTCATGATTTAGGAAGAACCTATCACTGAATTATACGTAAGGCAAACCAGAATTAACTGAGCATTTGATACAGTTTTCTTTTGTAATGGCAGCCCTGCATTAGACAAGAGCCATCAGGCAGATTATGATTTTTATGAGAGAATTTAAAAAATAATTTCTGAGGACTCTTTAAATATAATGATCCATTATTTTAGTAATAATCCTAATTGCAGTGATAGTGACCAATAAATATCATAATGCAATCAAACACCTAAAATGGAAATTTCTAGAAACCAATAAAAACATAGTGTTATTTTGAGTTGGATTTTTCTTTTGTTTATATTTCCAACTTTGAGTCTTACTTGGTAATCCCTGTGTAACTTTAACAGAGTTTTTTTTGTTTGTTTTTTGTTTTTTGCGGTACGCGGGCCCCTCACTGCTGTGGCCTCTCCCGTTGCGGAGCCCAGGCTCCGGACGCGCAGGCTCAGCAGCCATGACTCACGGGCGTAGCCGCTCCGCGGCACGTGGGATCTTCCCGGACTGGGGCATGAACCCGTGTCCCTTGCATCGGCAGGCGGACTCTCAACTACTGCACCACCAGGGAAGCCCTTTAACAGAGTTTTATAATCTTTGGACAGGTATTATTATTCATATATAATGTTCATAATATATATTATAACGTTCTTAATGTTCATAATATGCTAATATTTCTATTTCATCACCACTGTCTCATTCCTGTTCCTGTTTTCACTGAATGAACATAAGTAAAAGATGAGAGAGATTTGAGACACCAAAATAATATCTCCTAAGGTCTTGGCTTATTCCATTTCCTAATCTCCCAGGAAAGCTCTTCTAAAAATATTAACATAAAAGTCTGTTAAGGGGTATGGGCGACAAAATGCTAGACAATTAGAGCTAAAAGCTCACTGGTCAGCTAAGTCTTGACAAAGAGCAAGTCTGAGTTTAATAAAACATTTGCATAATTAAAAGACTGGAATAAGACAATGTGTAAATCTAGAAAATTTTGCTAGAGCTGGCTAATACTTGCCTAAAGCAAATACTAATACTAATAGGCTAATACTTGCCTAAAGCAAAACTTATTAGCTGAGACAATATTTTCCATTACTAAAGAAAAATCTGCTTTCTGTTGTAACTGAGAAAATTGAGGACAATATATAATTATAATAAATGTATACATTATTTTAATGTTTCATGCTTTATGCAGAATTGGATATTTAGTTACTGTGATTTTTAAAAAGGTATTGTGGCTAGAAAAAAAAAATACAAGTCGGTACCTAAAGTGATACCTGGCTATCCATGATATATGTATCCAATTCCAATGTTATTTTCTTTCTCAATATTTCATCAAGGCTACATGTAGTTTTAATAGCCAAGCTATCACCTGAATGCTATTAAAGAAAAATCATATCTGCTCAAACTTAATTTATATTATTTACCAAGGTAACAGATTCTAATTTTGAGGAAGATTGCTGACCATTTATGCGATCACTAAGAACTAATATTTGGCTTATAAATTCTAATTTCATCTTTTGTACACTGAGGAAAAAGATTAACAATTTTATCCACATCAAGATGCTTGTTTTGAAGGATTGATTCCATCTCTTTGAATAGTTCCTTCTCCAGTTTGCTCATGTTGTCCAACATTGTTTTGGCTTTTTCCTGAACAATTAAAAGATAAAAATAAATAAATACACAGATACACATGTGTGTATGAGCACACATGCACACACACGAGTCTAACAAAATTCCAAACCACCTCTACAGACAAGGTTTCTTCATTCTGGTTTCAACTTCTGGTTCGGTTCCCCTTCTCCTATTCTTTAGATAAAGAAAGAATGAAATTCTTTGGGAAAAATCATTGTTCTAGATTCAGTTAATCTATTAACCACAAACTATAGTTATTTTTAGTAGAAAATACAATAACAATTATGTAGTATTAGTCTATAAGCAAGAAACTTAAAAGACAAATAACAGGTCAATTGAAAATTTGATATTAATTGTGGATGGGGAAGGTTGCTGAAAACTGAAGCTGAAATATTTTCATGAACTTGGATCTTCTACATTTAAAACCAGCATTATCAGATTAAACAAAGGAAATAGAACAGTGACGTTCAAGGGAAAGAGCAACTAAAAGAAAAGTCATTTTCTCTATGATTCCTCCTTGTATCAACAAGGGGGGGAAAGGTCATGATTCTTATAGAAAGGAGCAATTTTTAAGTTATTAATGAATTACCATCATCAGTTAGAGGGTAGGTACTGACAGAAAAAGTGTATAAGAAGAGAGTTACTAGAAAGTGAGCATAATTTTTAAAATTTGAACCATAATGGGGCAGAACTCCACAAAACAAGGATTCTTAACTTTGACCTATACTTCAGTATGAAATTGTATGCAATTTTTTCTGAAGAAACACTGCACTTCATATCAGTGCAAAAAATATATTTTATCAATAAATGGTATTAGAATAATTGGTCATCTCTTTGGAAAACGAAGTTAGAACCCTACTTCATAACACCCATAAAAATAAATTCCAGATAAAGAACTAATTTTTTTTCAAATATGCATATATGTATTTGAAAGAAAATACAGAAGTTATATTTATTTTGAGGTGAGGCAGCCCTTTTGAAGCATGAAATCAAGATGCCTTAAAGGAAAAGACTACCAAATGCAACTGATTAAATTTTAAACTTGTCTGACAAAAGAAGTTAAATAAACAAACTGAGATTAAAAATTTGCTACACAACAAAGTTATTCACATATTTTTGCCTCTTTGAGTCAAAAGACAAAAACAACCAAGAATCAATTGAAAAACAGACTAAGGAAAATAATAGGCAAGTCATTTAAGAGGAAACACAAAGGCCAATAAACATATGAAATTTTCAACCTCATTAGTAATCAAGAAATGTTAACTAAACTACCAGTAGGACTGACTCTCCCTAAAACATAAAAGTAGTTATTTACAGAGCCAGGACTAGAACCCAGGTCTTTGACACTTCTTCCCTCAAATCCCACTGTCTTTCCACTACTTCATGTTGTCAATCAACATTTAATACCTATTAAATACAGCCTAAAATAGTAACTGCTTTTAAATTTTATTTCATTATTACTTAGAAAAATGTCAATCAGCAATTTAATTTAGTTTAACGGGCATTTAGTAATAAGTCTACAAAACCCACCTCCCAGAAGCAGTATTTAAGGGGAAAAGGGAGCTAACAACTCTTGAGAACTATCATGAGCAATGAGAGCAGTGCAGAGGCTGCTCAGAAAGGAGGGGAAATCCCTCCAGAGCAGACATTCATGAAACATATCACTGAAGAACTTGAGCAAAGGCAAGAAGAACCAGGGGCTCATCATTTTTCACAGCACTGTGCTGAGTCTGGAGGATGGGCCAAGCCCATGGAGGGAATGACACTTCTGGCCCGGTGCACTGGGCCCTAGTCAGTGCACTTAATAGGCTCCTAGAACAAAACACTTGCCTCTCACTCCATGCCACTAGGCTACAAAAAGGTGTTTACACTGTAGGTCAGAAGTAAAACAAACTGGTCTCAGAAAAAAGCAGTAGTGTCAAGAATCTATAGCAAATAGAGGATCTGTACAGAGCTCTCTGCTTTAAGCATAAGCACGGGGGTGGGCCGGGGGGGTGCGAGAGAGAAAAGCATGGCAACTATGTAAACATACTACAGAAAAAGGAAATAAGTAAATAATTGCCGGGGAGGAAAATTCATCTAATTCATTTAATGTAGAAAGAATGTAAATGTATATACCTTCACAAAGTAAAAGTTATTATAGGCAATAAAAATCAGAAGCGAAGCTGGTAGAAGCAGGTGAGAAAAGGTATAAGATGACCAATCTTTTCCTTCATTGCAAGGAATGAGTTGAGAGTTCTGAGAAAGGCCTTTAGGTAGCCCTTCCATTTCCTTCTAATCTATTTTTTTAATCTCTGGGGCAGAGACAGAAGAGGGCAGGAAGGCTGAAGAGGTATGAACATTATAAAATTATTTGTCTACCCATCAATCTATCTGTCCCCCCAAATTATATATCTACTTGTTTCTGGAGATGAGATTGTGGGTGATGTGTTTAATCTTTTATTATGCTTACATTTAAAAATAATATGCATTTATCTTTTATTAAAACTTCAACTCATTATAATAATTATTATTTTAAGTCTATGGGGTGTCAAGTCACTTTCAATTAAAATTAATCTGAGGGTATATGATTAAGAACATTATTTTAGAGACCAGGTTAACTCCCCTCTAGAAGTTTTGTAATTTTTGGTGTGAGATACACTAAAAAAGCTACTTAAACTCTCCAAGTCTCAGATTTCTTATCAGTAAAATGGAAACGATAATAGTACCTACCTGGGACTTCCCTGGTGGCACAGTGTTTAAGAATCTGCCTGCCAATGCCGGGGACACGAGTTCGAGCCCTGGTCCAGAAAGATCCCACATGCCACGGAGCAACTAAGCCCGTGCACCACAACTACTGAGCCTGCCCTCTAGAGCCCGGGAGCTGCAACTACTGAGCCCACGTGCCACGTCTACTGAAGCCCACATGCCTAGAGCCCGTGCTCCACAACAAGAGAACCCACTGAAATGAGAAGCCCACGCACTGCAACGAAGAGTAGCCCCCGCTCACCACAACTAGAGAAAGCCCGCACGCAGCAATGAAGAACCAGCGCAGCCAAAAATAAATAAATAAAATAAATAAATTTATTAAAAAAAAAATAGTACCTACCTGATAAAGTGGTTGTGAAGATTAAATGAAATATCCCATGTAACAGTACCATGGTGCTTGGTGTATAAGTGTTCAATAAATGTTAGCTATTGTTATTATGTTTAATATACTAAATTTCTCTAAATTCGCAATATATTCTTAACCATTTTTTTAACCAAAGTTCAAAAATAGTATAGCTCTATTATAGTCTAAGCATCTAAACTATTTTTAAACCTATTTTTATATAAAGGAAAGAAAGCTGAAATTTCAAAGTTCAAAATATGGATTGAATCTTATTTTAAGTTATTCTTAATGGTAAAACAGAGAATATAATCTAATCATACCTCCTTATTATCTAGTATTTCCAAGGCCTGTTGATGTTTTTGGTAGAGTAGATGTCTTCTGTCAGGCTTAATGTTAAACTGTGGCTTCTTTTTAACTGAATCTTCAAATGTGGGTGAACTGGTGTCCAATAGTTGTGAAATATTTGGTATAAATATGAAAGGCTTAAAAACAGATCTAGAAGAAAAAGTATTAAGTTTGGTATCTGGGGATATAAAAATATTCGGCCGAAAAAAAAATATTCAGCATTATTCTAAATCTTCTAAGATTCCCTTTAATTTCTACTAATTTATAACATACTAATTGTTCCTGTCATACTACTTATACCCATGCCTGTCTTCCCTGGTACACTGGGATCTCCTTTTGGGGCAAGGGATCATACTTTATTTAGCCTTATATTCCCATGAACCTAACAAAGGGCCTGGCATATAAACAGTGTCAAGTAAAATTATAGTTCATCATTTTCTACTGCAAATTCCACAGTTGGAGGGTAAGAACAGTCCTCAATGTAACAGATTGAGCATTAGGATTTGGGATGAAAATAAGCAGCAGTATTAATAAGGGATTCACAAGTTTTATTCCTTTTTCTGGAAGATATCTTTAATAATATGAAAGATTATAATACTAAGAGGTAGTGAATATAAGATCACTTCTAAATGTAATGTGCATTAAGTTTTATGAGACACCAATGATTTAAATCAAGGTAGTCTGTATATATCCTACTTAAGATATAACTTGAACTATTGATATTTTGTTTTACATGTATGTATTTTCTAGATCATTTAACCTTTTTACTCTTACTCATCATCTAATATTTAATACTGAAATCTGCATTAGAAAACCAATCTACTTTTTTTTTTTTTTTTTCTTTTTGGTACGCGGGCCTCTCACTGTTGTGGCCTCTCCCCGTTGCGGAGCACAGGCTCCGGACGCGCAGGCTCAGCAGCCGTGGCTCACAGGCCCAGCCGCTCCGCGGCATGTGGGATCTTCCCAGACGGGGGCACGAACCCCCGTCCCCTGCATCGGCAGGCGGACTCTCAACCACTGCGCCATCAGGGAAGCCCCAATCTACTTGTTTTTCTTGACAATTTTAAATATAGTTAGGGAAAGAGGGAGTAGGGATAACTGCGTACCAGAAACTATAAACATTTTCGTCCCATATGAATGAGAATAGTTATGGCAATGATACACATAGGAAAATGGCAGACTAAAACCTGAATAGAAAATGCATTCAAAAGACTTCTCTGGTGGCGCAGTGGTTAAGAATCCGCCTGCCAATGCAGGATACAGGGGTTCAAGCCCTCGTCTGGAAAGATCTCACATGCCACGGAGCAACTAATCCCGCGTTCTAGAGCCAGCACTACTGAGCCCATGTGCTGCAACTACTGAAGCCTAGAGCCCAAGCTCCGCAACAAGAGAAGCCACCGCAACGAGAAGCCCGCGCACCGCAATGAAGAGTAACCCCCGCTCACCGCAACCAGAGAAAGCCTACGTGCAGCAATGAAGACCCAACGCAGCCAATAATTAATTAATTAAAAAAAAAAGAAAATGCATTCAAAAATTATTGTGGTATTTGTGCAACAAAAATTTAGCCTGACAAAATCATCACCAAACTAATGACTCTACCCTACCCCTGACCCCCTGCCTGGTTTATAGTATTTTGTGACTTTACCTCTCAGGATCAGGAGTCCCTGTAAGGAAGTGGATGCAAGGAACGTTGGAGTCTTGAGGTAAAATAGAAACCATGCTTGCAGTGGTCAGGAATTCTCCCTCCATATTAATTCCACTTGGTTTATCTCGGAGAATTTCCATCATTGTTTCAAAGGTTATGTTTCCTAGGGAAATGAATTTTAAGACGATCAAATACATATGCATTTGCAGGTTGGCATCCTGCAATTATGAACTGCTTTCTCTATTGATAATACATAATATGAGACACTGGTCTAGGTATAAATTAAGTAAGACTGACTATAAGCAAATCTTGTACCGTAACTGTTAGACTCACTGCACTGTCCCAAGGAAGATTTTTTTCTAATATAAAATATACAAAATCTCAAAACATTATAACAGGTTAAATCTGTTATTTCCTAAGAAGACGAAATCAATAATGCAAAATACACTCAATCTCACTGCCCTTCCAAAAATTTTTAAGAGGTATGTAGTTAACAACTAATGACAATAATAACCATTATCTGAGTCTATCCATTCTGGGAACCAAATATTAAGAGAATATTGTGCTTAGTTTCCAATATTATACTAGATGTTCTTTACAAAATAACAAATTATTTTTCCTGTAATATAATTGCTATGCCTGACATTAATACTCTTGTATGAAAGTGTGAACTGTAACCTGAGTGGGAATGAAGGAGGCAAAAGACATTATTGGCTAATGGAATTTGTATGTACATAGTTCCACTGGACTACTTTAAAAATTTAAATGTCCATCATGTGTAATGAAAATAAATGGCATTATATTCTGTTTTCTGCTTTCATAGGTAAAGTTTGATATTTTAAGGAGATTTTTTTGAGAAAAATAGAAGAAAATCTATCTCTTTAGCAAACACAACATGTCCATGGTTACAGAGAACCTCAGAATCCCATATTTGGAAGGCATTTCCACCAAAAAATTTTAAAAGCCAATCATGCCCTCAGACAGCTCTGTTTCTTTCTATATATATCCATAGTCAAAGATGTGATTTAGGATCTATCTCATGACAAGATGAATAATCTTACCCTTCCACAATGCAGTCCTCCAAAAGTAGCCAAAATATCTTCTTCTCACATGATGATAATTCTCGTCTCCAAAATTTATGACTCAATTCTCCCTGAATCACATTAGGACTCCTTCAAATTAAAACTTACTAAGATTAACTTAAATAAACTTTTCCTCTCCATCTGTCTTTTGTCTTTATTGGTCCTATCTTTTGTTTATCTTGATCCTATCTCTGCCATCAGATTATAAATTCCTGATCTTTTGTCTGTATTGGTCATATCTCTGCCATTAGATTACAAATTCTCTCAAGACAAGAATGGGATTTTCTCTGTTTAGTTCTCATTCACTCAACAAACATTTATTGAACACCTATTAAATGCCAGGCACTGTCCTAGGCAATGTATAGATAGATAGACACAGACAGGCAGAAAGACAGATATTGATAGATTTAGACATGGATATACAGCTCTGTGAATATAAAGAAATGAAAGTCCCCTGATCCAATTTCAATTAAGGTAACCACAGTTAACAATTCAAAAAGGATTTCTCCTGGGACGTCCCTGCTAAGACTCCACGCTCCCAATGCAGGGGGCCCAGGTTCGATCCCTGGTCGGGCAACTAGATCCCACATGCATGCCACAACTAAGAGTCCACATGCTGCAACTAAAAACAAAAGATCCCGCATGCCACAACTAGGACCCGCTGCAGCCTAAATAAATAAATAAATAATAAATAAATAATTTTTTTTAAAAAAAAGATTTCTCCTGAAGAGTTTCAGAACAGGTCTGAAAATTTTTCTTTGAATAAATGCAAGAAATTCTCATTATCAGAAGAAAATTGGTACCAGAAAATAGCCACTTAACGCAACATATTTAAAATAAGAATCAAAACTTCATGGTATGTAGTGGAGGAAAAGGACTGACTGGATCTTTAAAATGAAATTAAAATACAAAAATAAGTTTACATAAGCTTATAGTTAACAAAATTTAGGTTAAAATTTTAATATGCTAATTCTTAGAACAAAGAATGAAACAAGTGTAATTTTTACGACAAAATGGTAAGAGAATTCGACTTTGATTATTGCAGAATGATCATACAGATAATGATTGCAAAAATATATGAGGACTTCATCAAGTTTCTCAAGTCCCTCTCTTAATTCTTTCTTTTTTACTGTATAATAATTTTATTTTTTTCCTTTTTAAAAATTTTTTTGGAGTATAGTTGATTTACAATGTTGTGTTAGTTTCAGGTGTACAGCAAAGTGAATCAGTTATACATATACATATCAGTTTCAGGTGTACAGCAAAGTGAATCAGTTATACATATACATATACTTTTTTTTTTTTTTTTAGATTCTTTTCCCATGTAAGCCATTACAGAGTATTGAGTCGAGATCCCTGTGCTATACAGCAGGTTGTTATTGGTTATCTATTCTTAATTATTTAACATTCAAATCATTTTCTTTTGAAGCACTTTGTTGTGTTACTGCTCTCAGTTTTTCTTCAGTTGTCAATAGGTCTAATTCTCTGTTCATTTTTTATTTGCCAATGGCTTTGTATGTGACCTAATCAGTATCTAATGTTAATTTCATGGGCTTCTGGAAATCTTGCATCTTTTGTAAGACTTTCAGTTTGTATTTTATTTGTATTGTGTTACTAATCATTAAGAGACATCAACAAAAATATTGACGCAAAGAAGAGGAAGGATAGTGTTAAATTGGGAAAGATATTTGAATGAGGACTAATTTTATAAATAGATGGTTCATCAGTGATTATCTTTATGTTTAAGACTACCTTTGCTTCCTTATGCAACCCCTGTAACTTTGGGGCATCAGACTGAAAATTCAGATAAAATGGACATCCCTCCTACCATCCATCACAACTTGCTGCAATCTTTGCTTCATTAACCAGCTGATATATGACTAAAATGAGGTCATTTTTTTAAAGTATCTACATCTCCCCAATTTTCTTATATGACCTCCTAATTTTTCATACTTGTACAAAGTTTATATTCCCCAAAGTATAATTCGACAAGAAAATTAAAATAGGATCACTAACATATAATTACTTACCTGAAAAACCAAAGAGAATAGATTTTAAAACTATGAAAAAAAATAGACTATCAATGAGGTGTCCCATTAAATAAGTAAAAACACTCAACAGCTTTCTTATAGATCAAAACCAACCAATTAACAAACATAATAGAAAAATATTCCATTCATATTACCAGTAAAAACATATTAAATATCCAGAAAAAAACTTAAAAGTCAAGTGGAAATCAGTAATCTAAGCTTCCACCTTAACAAACTAGAAAAAGAAGAGCAAAATAAGCTCAAGGCAAGCAGAAGGAAGAAATAATACAGATAAAAGCAGAAATCAATGAAATTGAAAGCAGAAAACAGAAAAGTCAATGAAACAAAAAGTGGTTCTTTGAAAAGATCAATAAAATTGACAAACCTCTAGCTAGACTGACAGAAAAAGAGAAAACACAAATTACAAAATTACCAATATCAGAAATGAAACAGGGGTATCATGACAGACCCTGCAGACATTAAAAGCATGATAAAGGAATACTATGAACAACTCTATACCCATAAATTAACAACTTAGAAGAAATAGACCAATTATTTGAAAAGCACATATTACCAAAACTCACTCAATATGAAATAATTTGACTAGCCCTATATCTCTTAAAGAAATTGACTTTAAAACTTCCAGAAATCTCCAGGCCCAGATGTTTCACTGGAGAATTCTACCAAACATTTGAGGAAGAATTAACTCCAAATCTACACAACCTCTTCCAGAAAATAAAAAAGGAAGGAACACGTCCTGACTCATTTAATGGGGCAGATATTACCCTTATACCAAAACCAAACAAAGACAGTACAAACAAACCAACACAGACCAATATCTCTCTCATGAATACAGATGCAAAAACCCTCAAAAAATATTAGCAAAGAGAACCCAACAATATATAAAAAGAATTATATACCATGGCCAAGCTGGGTTTATTCCCAGGATACAAGGCTTGTTCAATATTAGAAAATCAATGTAATCTATCATATCAACAGGCTAAAGAAAAAAAGAGAATTGTATCAACTGACACAGAAAACGCGTATGACAAACCTCAGTATCTATTCATGATAAAAACTCTCAGCAAACAAGGAATAGTGGAAAACTACCTTAACTTGATTAAGTTGACAAAGTACATCTACAAAAAGCTACAGCTAATACTATACTTAATGGTAAATGACTAAATGCTTTCCCCCTAAGACTGGGAACAAGGCAAGGGTGTCTGCTCTCACCATTCTTATTCAGTATAACACTTGAAGTCCTAGCCAGCACGATAAGGCAAGGAAAGGAAATAAAAAGCGTACAGATTGGAAAGGAAGAACTAAACTGTCCCTATTTGCAGGTGGCATGATAGTCTATACATAAAAATCCCAAGGAGTCTAACCAAAAAAAAAAACCCCAAAAAACAAACCTCCTAGAACCAGTAAATTCATTTAGCAAAGTCACAGAATACAAGATCAACATACAAAAAAGTAATTAAAACAATCTGAAATTTTGAAAAGAAGTTCTTATTAAGAAACAATTTGTTTAGGCTCTATAGAAGAGAACTAGAGACACTGTTTTCTCATTTAGGTTGAAACTGCAAATTCTGTAGGTCCAACTTCACTTATAGAATCTATTCTAAAGAAGTAATTTTGAAATGCAGACAAACTTAATAAATAAGATGTTCACATGATTTACAGTGGTAAAAGGGAAACAACCAAATAGTGAACAATACCATTTGTGTCCTCCCCTCCACCAGTTACTATGTTCCAGAAGGTCACAGACTGTATCACGTCTGCCACTATGTGGCCCCATGCCTAGCACAGAGCAAGTGTTTATAAAAGATTTCTTTAACAACAAAAAATGTCAATATGGAAAACCTAGACAAATAAAATTACAAAAGTCTACTTAGAACAGAAAAGAAAAATTCAATAAATGGACAACCATAGGCAATATTATTAGATGTGAATTCTCCCCTAAAATAATCTATAGTTTTAATTCAAATCCAATCAAACCTCAAAAAGATTCTTTAGGGAGAAGCTGGAAAAATGATTGTAAAATTAACCTT